AATACCAATTGCACTGCATATCATCTAAAAGGGACCAGGAGGCACACACCCCATACAACACCTCATAGTAACTATGGTACCTATGACAACACCCCAAGTGATTTTTTAGGGGTAGGAAATGAAGAAAGAAAATGGAAAAAGATAACCAAAATAGTCCACCACCTTGGAGCCTTGTTGGACTGGAGGCACAGCCAGTGGCGCCTCCGGGCTCACAGCTACTGATGCCAACAACAAAATCCCTCCATCAAACATGCAACACAACCTCATTTATATTTGATAATATACAGGGCCTTAAGCCATCCACAAACAACAAAATATCTTTCATTAGTGGACTTCTAGAGGAGTCAAATTCACTGTTTGCAGCCTTCACAGAGACCCACGCAAAAGATTACTTTGACAGTGAAATATGGATACCTGGATGCAACCTTTTCAGATGTGACAGAAAGAACAGGCAACAAGGGGAGGTTGGCCCTTAAGTCAAAGAGTCGCTCATCTGCACAGAGATACTGAACACCACAAATGATGTAGTTGAAGTTCTGACAATAAAAATCGAGAACCAAAACTTAGTCATTGTACTTGTATATAAGCCACCGGATGCAACTTCCCAACAGTTCAAAGAACAACTGTCAAAAATCGACTCCTGTCTGGACAACTTTCCAGCCCCATCCCCAAACATCTTGCTGCTTGGTGACTTCAATCTAAGACACACAAAATGGAAGAATATAGCAAATAATGTCGTAGGAGAAATAATCCCTGGAGGTAGCTCAGATGAAAGGTCACACACGCAGGAGCTGCTGAATTTCTGCAACAATCACACCCTAAGTCAGCAAATAGTGGAGCCAACAAGACTGGAGAACACACTGGACCTTATTTTCACAAAGAATGAGGAAATGGTAAGGAATATAACAATATCAAAAACAACAAATTCTGATCACAATCTAATCGAAGTCCAGACTTGCATGCACAGGAGTCCTGATCGACAAGATGCATACAGTTATGAGGGTACCTTTACCAAATTCAACTTCAACAACAAGAACATCATCTGGGATCAGGTAAACTATGCCCTAAATGAAACATGCTGGGAGGATATCTTAAATTACATGGACCCTAACCAATGCCTCGAAAAGATCACCCTCCTGGTAGCTGAAGTATGTTCAAGGTATATTCCTATAAGACAAAAGAAAAGAAGAAGTAAACTGGAGAGAGAGAGACGCTCCCTCTACAGGAGTAGACGAAGAATTATTGAGCTCCTCAAGAATGCCAGATTATTTGATACACAGAAGGAAGTGCTAACCAGGGAAGTGGAAAATATTGAGCTGAAGTTAAAGGACTCATACAGGATCCAGGAGAGACAAGAGGAGCTAAAAGCGATTAATGAAATTGAAAGAAATTCGAAATATTTCTTTTCATAAGCCAAAAACAAGTCAAAAACCACTTCTAGTATAGGGCCCCTGCTCAGACAAGACGGATGCTACACAGACGACAATAACGAAATGAGATAGATACTGAAATTGCAGTATGACTCAGTGTTCAGTGAGCCACTAACCAGTTTAAAGATAGATGATCCAAACAAGTTTTTCATGAATGAGCCTCAAAGCCCTGCCAATGTAGGCCAGATTTATGACATAACTAACTCCACTAGACTTTGAAAAAGCCATCGACGACATGCCCATGCACTCAGCCCCAGGCCGAAACTCGTGGAACTCGGTGTTTATTAAAAACTGCAAGAAACCCCTCTCACGGGCCATAAGTATGCTATGGAGAAGGAGCTTAGACACAGGCGAGTTTCCACAGTCACTAAAAACAACAGATATAGCCCCACTCCATAGCTAAGTAGCTAAGAACTATAGACCAATAGCTTTAACGTCCCACATCATAAAAATCTTTGAAAGAGTTCTAAGAAGCAGGATAGCAAACCACCTAGACTCCCAAAAATTGCACAACCCTGGGCAACATGGTTTCAGAGCAAGTCGCTCCTGCATTTCGCAACTGCTTGACCACTATGATATGGTCCTAGATGCACTGGAAAACAAACAGAATGCGGATGTAGTATACACAGACTTTGCAAAAGCCTTTGACAAGTGCGACCATGGTGTAATAGCACACAAAATGCGTGCTAAAGGGATAACCGACAAAGTAGGCAGATGGATCTTCAACTTTCTAACCAATCGCACACAAAGAGTAGTGGTAAACAGAGTTAAATCAGATGCTGCCATAGTGAAGAGCTCTGTCCCACAAGGCACAGTACTCGCACCTATCCTGTTCCTTATTCTCATATCAGACATAGACAGAGATGTAAACCACAGCGCTGTATCATCTTTTGCAGACGATACTAGGATCTGCATGAGAGTGTCATCCATTGAGGACACTGTTAACCTCCAATAAGATATAAACCAAGTTTTCCAATGGGCAACAGAGAACAATATGATGTTCAATGAAGACAAATTCCAACTACTCCGTTATGGAAAACTGGAGGAAATAATAACTAGAACTGAGTATACTACAAACTCCAATCACACAATAGAGAGGAAAAGTAATGTGAGAGACCTGGGAGTGGTAATGTCAGAGGATCTCACCTTCAAGGATCACAACAATGCCACTATCACATCTGCTAGGAAACCGATAGGATGGATAATGAGAACATTCAAGACAAGAGATGCTAAGCCAATGATGATCCTTTTTAAATCACTTATTCTTTCTAGGCTGGAATACTGCTGTACATTAACATCCCCATTCAAGGCAGGTGAAATTGCAGAGCTAGAGAATGTACAGAGAACCTTTACTGCACGTATAAGTTCCATCAAACACCTTAACTACTGGGAGCGCCTGGAAGCACTTGACTTGTACTCACTAGAGCGCAGGCGAGAGAGATATATCATAATCTACACCTGGAAGATTCTGGAGGGACTGGTCCCTAATATGCACACAGCAATCACTCCATATGAAAGCAAAAGACTTGGCAGGCGATGCAACATACCTCCAGTGAAAAGTAGGGGCGTCACTGGTACACTAAGAGAAAACACAATAAGTGTCCGGGGCCCAAGACTGTTCAACAACCTCCCACCAGCATTATTATTATTACAATCAAGGGGGAAGCGCTAAACCCGGAGGATTATACAGCGCCTGGGGGGGGATGTGGAAGGCATTCAGGCTTAATTTGGGGAACTGGAGCACAGATCCAATTCCCTAAATCAAGAGCCCCTCACCAACATCAAGGAACCTTCCTTGAGGGGACTCCCACCAGTAATAAGGGGCATTACGGGAAGACCCCTGGTTGTCTTCAAGAGGGAGCTGGACAGATACCTAAAGACGGTGCCGGATCAGCCTGGCTGTGGTTCGTACGTTGGATTACGTGTGGCCAGCAGTAACAGCCTCGTTGATCAGGCCCTGATCCTCCGGGAGGCCTGGTCGTGGACCGGGCCGCGGGGACGTTGATCCCCGGAATGCCCTCCAGGTAGACTCCAGGTAGGTAGTATTATTAAATCAGGGGAAGCGCTAAACCGAGGATTATACAGCGCCTGGAGGGGGGGATTGAAGCATCAGCTTATTCGGAACTGAGCACAGATCCAATCCCTAAATCAAGCCCCTGACCACACATCAAGGAGCTCTTGAGATCAATTAGGTTTAATTATTATTATAATCAAAAAGAAGCGCTAAGCCACAAGGCTATACAGCGTCCGGTAGGTAGGTGAGCTGGAACGCGTGATTAGATAGTTCATTACAGTACAGACTTGTATTCACACTGTACCTATCTAACCAATTCCCTGTACTCTTAATTCTTCAGTGATAGTTTCAAATTATTATTAGGTTTAAAGCCTATCGACTGAAGAAGTATTACAATATTTTTAACAGGTGTACAACACAAGGCAATACTTTTATCCCTTTATATGGATTAGAAAAATTCTCACTGTATACATAGAGATACATTTCTCGGTGTAAATACACTGATACAGGCTTCCTACAGTTAGGTTAGGTTAGGTACGGTAAGGTAAGGTTTGTCAGTATTACAACCTAGGAATCCAAAGGCCTGTTATCCTGGATGTTAAGGGAACAAAATAAACACAGCAGAAAACTTTTGACTTATATTATCCTTTCACCAAATAAAAACAGAAGTATGTACACTATGTACAGCAATAGGTATTAGTGCACTCCACGGTAAGCAAGGCAGAATAGAAGCCACTAGAGAGCAGACCGTGCTTCAACCAGCTCTAGAATGGGAATGACAAGGCAGACAGGCGGGTGGTGCTCACAACACCTCTGCGATTACCAAAACCAGCTTCTCATTGGCTGGAACCTGGGTACTGATTGAACGACCGGGCCCCATCGTCCGATCCTTAGTACTGGTTCACTGGTTGGGGGAGATAGCCTTTCAGTGAGGGGGGTGTGTACATGCGCCGAATAAAGGTTACGTACTCTTTGCATGCCACAGTCAGGAAACAGGACAAGTATTTCCTGACGCGGGTATAAGTCATATGATAACCGCCACTGGAGCTTTTGGTCATAACCGAGGCCTTCCACTGGCTTACCCCTCCACCCCTTTAAAAATTAAGGTTATAATTATAGCCGTTTATTTTGGTTCCTCCTACAGTGACTGCTACAAAAGGATATTCATCCTCCCTGGGTTCTCTCGTCTTCGGGATGTGTTCAATCGTATTCTACCTCTCTGTCAGTATTTCCCTTTAGTTCTTCTGTCTGTCATTTATTCCTTAATGTATATTAAGAACATCAACTCCATCCGTACTCATTCATCAAGTGTGGCACCGAAAACAGATTTCTGGATTCAGCGATGACCAGTAGCTGGTTATCCTGTGAGGCATGTTACTTCATGCTATTCGTGAAGATATTCATTATCAGCTCTTAATGCCCACTACCATATTTGCAATGTTGCACGCTACATTTTCACTATTTATGATGCATAATGGAGAGTGAGTTGTGGCAGTAGTGGGAGTGCATGGCAACCCTGCCTTGAAGGATGTGTTGTGAGAGGCGTCGAGGCAGCGTGTCAGTGTGGCTGGTGCCAGTGTTGGGAGAGGTGATAACTATTCGACTCTCTGTCGTTCGTCACTAAACCTACCTTCCGTGTCCTGTTGGGGCTTTTAAATCACTACGTCCAAGTCAACAGCTTGGGAATTTGTGTCTTAACACAATAAAAATATACGAAGCCAGGATTTTACCTTAATTTCAACGTAATATTGTACGAAATTAGTATAAATCTTTCAGCGCATGGAGTGACAGTTGCATCTAGGCGTAAGAAACAACATTCGTGAGGTACTTAAAGTCTTAGTGGCAAGGCGGAAGTCTTTTTCGAGTATTAATATAAAATAAATTAACAATCCACCCAGGAGTCTTTCGTGAAGGATATAAGCCAACATCAGTGTATGTGTGTCATCACATTCTTTGAATATTGAGTGTAGCAGTTAAGACGAGGCTCAGTACTTAGTATAGTTTGTGCATTGTAACTCAGATGGTTTCAGCTCGATGTGTGGCAGATGGTGACCCACACTATTGATTACGTTGCCCGTCTAGCCTTCTTGGCACGCTAGGAGCCTGATAACCTAGGAGAATATAAACTGGAGCAGTAACAATGTTGGATAACCTTGCTGTGTACGTCTTGTCACCAGCATAACCTACCCTTGTGTAGTACTAGGGACGTTAACTACCAGTCGGGGTATTAAGTCGCTAGTGTCACTGAGGATACAAGTAGTAGTTGGTGTGTAGACACAAGCATTCACAATGTCTGATGCGGAGACCTGCCAAACGCAGGGAGAGAACCCTAAACCTCAGCTCACTCAAGATGCTTCCCAAGACTCTACTGATGGTGAGCACATCATGTTGCTTGAACCCAGACCCTTCAGGCCCTTCAAAACTTCTGAAGAGTACCTGTATGCCATGAAGGAGGATCTGGCAGAGTGGCTTAACCACCTATACAGCCTAGACATCACTGTAGACAACTTTTTCGAACGTCTCGACACTGGTGAAGTTCTGTGTGCGGTAAGTTGCTGAGACTTGCATGTTTCTTCATTTATGGTATTGCATAGAGGTGTTACGGTGCTTATATTATACTGTATTTAGCATTGTAAACATACAACAGTATAAAGTTACAACTAGTCAAAGGTTATGATAAGAGATAAGATTTCGTACGGATTTTTAACCCCGGAGGGTTAGCCACCCAGGATAACCCAAGAAAGTCATTGCGTCATCGAGACCTAACTTATTTCTGTTGGGGTCTTCAATCTTGTCCCCCAGGATGCGACCCACACCAGTCGACTAACACCCAGGTACCTATTTGCTGCTAGGTGGACAGGACAACAGGTGTAAGGAAACGTGTCGAAATGTTTCCACCCGCCGGGAATCGAACCCAGGCCCTCCGTGTGTGAAGCGAGAGCTTTAGCCACCATTGGCTGAAGCTTAAATGATCACAGCAGATTTTTACTACATTTAAAAAAAGAACCTTCATAGGTTAACCTAACATTGACTGTGAAACCTTATAGCCAGAGGAATTCCACCTCCACTTAAGATTAACATATTTTCAGTGAAACTGTTGTTTGAATAACAAAATATGATCGAATATCGGCTTATCAGCTAATATACTGTTATGACTGGTGGAGTTATTCAGTATACTATCCTGGTTTCAGGGGTACCAAAAGATGATTTAGTAGGATAAACGTGTCCGCCATACCACATTATGAATATCATGAGAGGAGTGGTGATCTGTGCAGTAAGATGTTATGGTTCAGCTAGCCTGGTTATACTCACGCCCAGCCCTTCTCAGTCATGTATCTAGATAACCCATTTTTTAGGCTCCCTAAATATTCCTTTCATTAACTTGTACCATCGTAGATCCTCTCTAAATTTGAATTTACCTAACCTGAATCAATGGCTGCGAGTTATCGTGGTTATTTATATATTGTTAACGCCTTGATTTTCCATTTGTACACTTTAATCCTATCTTTCTTTACTCCATCATTTGTACACTTAAGTCATATTTTTCTTTACTATACCCTTCATCATTTCAAGAGTGCAAGATCAATCCTCTTCTTAGATGATGTTGGTTGCTTTGCTAGAATTATTCAAGTCCATCGGTGCACTAAGATTATAGAAGACGCATAACGTGTACACCACCGACCTTCAAGACGAATGGCTCTAGATTCAGGAAATTCGAGCTATCCTCCACTTCACACAATACACATATAACCTGCACATAGGAGAGAGGAGCTTACGATGACGTTTCGGTCCGCTTTGGACCATTTACAAAGTCACTAACAGAAAAGAGAGAAGGGCTATTTGCGTATTGTTCCAGTCACGGTATTATGCCGTTTTGTTCTTTTCTATCCTCCATTTCCTTAGATTAAACCTGATTACCTCCCATTCCCAATGGAGCATAGCATTTTCTCATAAATATAATAATAATAAACTTCGGTGAGCTCTAAAACATGGATTAAAATAACCAGAGATTGAGATACACCTGTCGATGCATCTTAGTGTATATACACTATTTCTTTATATACAGTAACACATCTCTATTTGTACGACGTGATATATTGTTTATATATAATACAGACACGTGTATACACTTATCTCCGGTGTACAGAATGCGAATGTATTAATACAACTGGTACATCGAGCGTTGTTTATGAACTATTTTAATTTTCTAAAATTGTAGCTTAGCGGCAGTGCAGTTACATCGACCCTTTTTATAGCGGGGTGACCATAGAGGATTATGCATTATGCATTATATGGCATACTTATCTTCCTGAAGGTAGACCAGTAGCAGGATCAATATCCTGCACCATAACAAATATTTGGGATATCCATAAAGTTACATCCTACTCCATAACAATTACTGGAGATACCTGTGAAGTTATAATCATTTTATGATGCCTTACTAACAAGTGATCCTCAGTTTTCCTTAATGGGGTGTGGAACCTAGCCAGGGTAAGCCAGCGGGTGGCAATCGTTCACGGGTTATCATTTGACGAAAACCCTTGTCAGGGCGACACTTGTCCCGTTTCCTGGCGAACAATTTTGCTATTTGCTTCAAATATCACCCGTTTTTCTGCCAATTTTTGTTTTTGTTTGTGATGTTTATGGTATTTTTTAAGAGATTTTTTATTTGTATTGTGTAAACGTATTAAACATTGTTGATCAAGGTGACGAAATAAATGTAATAAAGTTGGTAGAATTACCGACAATATGTAAAGTAAAAGGACACAAGTGCAACTAATGTGACATTTATTGTGGCAACGTTTCGCTCTCCAGGAGCTTTATCAACCCATTACGATAAAGCTCCTGGAGAGCGAAACGTTGCCACAATAAATGTCACATTAGTTGCACTTGTGTCCTTTTACTTTACGAAATAAATGTGTTGATGTAATATCGTGTACATTCTCTGAAGTTTTAGCAGATTATCATCCGCTTTACACGCATAATAAGCAAATAATTCTAATATCTTTAAAAATAGGTTGGGCAGATAAAAGTGGGAATGGTTAAGTGAGACCTGACTGGCAGGTTCCTTTTATAATATTTGAGATATTATTTACACCTCTTCCTTGTGTGGTAGATGAGTGTTGTGTTGTGGAGATTGATAATGGTGTGGAGGAGGTTGATAGTAATGGTGTGGTGGAGGTTGATAGTGATTGTGTGGTGGAGGTTGATACTGATGGTATGGTGGAGGTTGACAGTGATGGTATGGTGCAGGTTGATAGTGATGGAGATGTTGGGGAGGTTTGTAGTAATGAAGGAATGTGGGATATTTTGCCGAGAGGAGAGGAGGATGTGACTAGTTGCTGGTATCATAGGTAAGACATGATTCCTGCACTAACATGGCATGTACGCATGGGATGGGATGCATACTGCAGGGGATGGGGACCATCTTACAATACGAGGGTCATTACTAGGAATAAGGTAAAATTTACACGTATGTTGCAACTTTGGCTAGGAAAAGGTGCTACCTTTTTGTAGTTATGTATTTGGTAGGAAGGAATTTGTATAATAACAAAGAAAAAGAAATGATAATAATTTTAGGTTTGTGAAGTAAATTGAGGAAGGAAGGCGAGAACAGTGTATGGAAACAGCAGACGAACAACAGCCTCGTGTTTACCAAAACTCACTTGTAGAAATTCATTGGACGAGTCAACAGCACTTGTGTGTACAAAGATAGTTGTTACTGCAGTGACATTTTTAAGTGATCGTAAGTGACTAATAGATTTCTCTCCCACTAAAAATAGCAGATGCTTAGAAAATACGTAGATTATAACGAGAAGTATAAGTTATTGTTGTGATGAAGATTACAGCAAATGTTGACGGTATAAATTTTATGTCCAGTATGCATTTAATTACATAGTACATTATGCTTCTCTAAAAACTTTTCCAAACAGACGTTTAGAAGATTGGATTACTACAAACAATTTAAAACCACGTGAGTGATTATAATGAAGAAATGATCAGCATCCAGAATCACCGTCTATAAGTGATAAATATTAATAAAAACTTCTAGAAATAAAGTGCAGGAAATAACGAACCAACATAAAAACTGTGATAATGGAATAATTTTTGATAAAATCATATTTAAACGGGAAAAGGCAAACAATGGTTGCGCAGCAGCTGTTGATGACAACCATGTACGGAAGAGACAATTATCACAGCATTAATAATAATAATAATAATAGTAATAATAATAATAAATATCTGTATTTCTACAAGTACATGTACAAGGTATACAGGCCTAGCTGACATCAATGACATACTACTATATAGAAAGCTTCTTGCTGTGCAGAGCATTTCGGGCAAATTAGGTCAGTTTTGTCCCAGGATGCGACCCACACCAGTCGACTAACGCCCAGATCCCCATTTTACGATAGGTACCAGGGACAGCAGGTGTCTTACGGAAACACGTCCTAATGTTGTCCCGCCGTACCTGGGAATCGATCCCCGGACCTCAGTATGTGAGCTGAGTGCGTTAGTGATCGAGCTACGGCATCTAAATGGCACACAAAAATCTGGTAAACTGGTGAACAGTACACATCTACAACACCTGGGTGTCTATTTTGAAAACGTTTCGCCTACCAGTGGCTTTATCAATTCAGTACAGAGGTTATTTCAAGGTGTTGACACTGGAGACAGTAGAAAAGGAGGTAATCAGTCCCTCAGTTTAAGAAAGTGTTCGCCACTTTAACCTTGATTCATCAAGACTAAGATTTTTTTGATTAGCTTCGCCCTGGGGAGTTTTTTTTTTTTATCAGCCCAATGATTGTAAAGCTCGTCGGAGCGAAACTTCTCAATATGTATCCTCGAGTTGTGTGTGTCGTGTATACATCATGTCTGTGGGTGAAACTGTCGCCTAGTCATTAAAGCAAATACTTTGCATATCTTTAAATATTGGCTGGACAAATACATGAGTGAGATGAGCTGAGGCAGGATAAGAGCTGCCATCCTTCCTCAGCTCATTTCAGATCCTAACCTTGTATATAAGATGACTAACGAAATCGTACTGACAAGATTTGCAAACAAGCCACAGTACGGGTGGAGATTAAACTTGAAGCAAGCGAGTCGTAAAATTCCAGACCAGCGCGTAAATCACTGGGCTAGCTGGCTACAATAAGATTCAACCAACTAAGTATATTTATACACCATAGGGAGGTTAGCATAGGTCCCGCTTTAAAAGTAAATGCAAGTTTTTACAGATTAATCTCCCGCCAGCGTGGCCGTGACAGACTAGCTCAAGTCCCCTCGAAGCCAGTGGCTTACGCGCTGACCTAGAGTTTTACGATTCGCCGCAAGTTCAATCCCCACCGGTACCGTGGTTTCTTTCCTACGTAAGATATTCTAACACCCCATCCCCCAGGATGCGACCTCATAGTAGTCCGCTAACACCCGGGTACCTACTTACTGTTAGGTTAATAGGGGCAGTGAATGTTAGAAAACGTATAAAGGGTCGAATTCTGGTTAGTCAGTTGAACATATATAAAACTTGAGCTTTATATATGCAGAAC